GGCCTGTTTACTCCCCTTGAAGCTGAGCTTATGAGTGTTAGGGAGGCACTCAGCTGGATTAAAATTCAACAATGGGACCTCATAGACTTGGAAACAGATTCTTTACTAGCTGTCCAAGAAATTCAGAAAGGCTCGGGTTGTTCCTATTAGGGCGTTTTGGCTGATGTCTAAAGATATAAGAGATATGATGGCTAGTTTTGTTAGCATTACATGTTCTCATGTTAGACGTTCAGCAAACCGGCCGGCTCATGTGTTGGCAAATGGCAAGGGCTGCGGGGTCTTTGTCTGAAAGTCATGTTTGGTTTTTGATTCCCCCTTCTTTCATTATTGATGTATTAAACAATCATTTGATTAATAGCAATTAATATTATTCTTTCCAAAAGAACATGAATACGATGGAATCATATCCTTGGCCATCCAGTGCTGCCCATTCGTTGGTGATGTGGGGTCCACATAATTAGGAGATCAAAAACCTTGAGATTTGTTTAGGTGGGGATGGGGTATGTGAACGAACAAGTAGCAAATGTAAAGCAAATGTATGTGAACGAACGAAGCATTGTCCCTAGAAGAAAGTATACTTGACATATTTGTCCCATGCGTTGAAAACATACATGTTTATATATATATATATATATATATATATATATATATATATATATATAGATTTAGGTTCAAGTGAGAAAATCATCTTAGGAGAGAAATAAGAATGATACTACACCATTGGATCAAGTTATTTTTTGAGATTTTTTCTCCAACGAAGAGGGTTAAACTTGTGATTTTGCATATCTTACCATTCTGAACGGGACTTCAATTATTCAATTATACTTCTACAATTACGTTATCCAAGTTCTTTCCTTTGAAGTTAATAAGTACTCCGTACTTTTACATTAATATTGCTTGAATCTTTTACTGTTTTACCAATAAAAAATTACAAAAAGTGAGATTTTTTTTAATCGAATCTTTTCTTTAAAATAAAGGAAAAATTGAAAATAATAATCCCAACTATTGCCAATCCGTTAACAATAATCCCAACTATTGATTATTTTTGTATAATCCCAACTATATGGACCCTCCACGAATAATGGTCCATGACCGGATATTAAGAGTAAAAATTAAGAGTGAAAATTAAAATTTGGGATTATTTATAGGGATTATCTGCTATATCTCTTCTCATCCACTTTAGAAACTATAAAAATTTATTTATAGTCGGTCACGCCGGACCATTATTGGCGGGAGGTCTCTAAAGTTGGGATTATTCCGAGATAATCGATAGTTGGGATTATTATGAGCGGACCGTCAATAGTTTTGATTATTACTATCAATTTTTCCTAAAATAAACTATTTTTTTATCCGCTACTTTTTTGATTCAACAATCATGCATTTATTTTCATTTGGATACGTTTCATTTAACATTTAGTTTCATGCTTTGCATTAATATATTAATTTTTTTAAATATAAATTATTATAAAAATCATATTTAGAAAATTGACTTTGAGATACATTAAAAAAATTGTAATACATTAATAAATATTGTCAAGGTAGATTATGTGAATAGTGTAAAAGGTACAAACATATGAACAAATTGAAATAGATGTATTATCACGACAAGCAGTTATGCACCTTGAAAGTGAATAAAGTGAAATTCATTTTATTAAAGAAATCAGATCACGGAAGTGCACTTTTATATATATTTAAAGACATCGCTAACATTTCACAATTTTGTGCACTATTCATATACTAGTGTGCACTTGTGCTTAGAATTGCATATGTAAGTAATTGTGCACTTATAGCATTTTGACCATGACCATTTAGCATTCAAATTTTGCAATTTTGAGATATAAAAGGAATTCTAGTCTTACCAACTTTTGATTATACATATACATTATTGTACATATACTTACGCTTAAAGTGCATATTACTTTAATTAATAAAAGTTGTAATATAAGTTGATATATACTAGTATGTTGTAGTGCCTCAAGTATAAAAGTGCATTTACCTACGATTAAAGTGCATAGTACTTAAATTAATTGTGAAGACAAATTTGATTGCACTATTATATCTATCCGTAACATACTAATAGGTTTAGAACTAACATATATAAATTGCATAATACTTTCACAAAATGTGCACAAAAATTCTCTTGCACTAGCACATACTCATAACATATTTTAACATGTATTAGAGAAAGATACCAATCTAACAATTTTAATATTATATAAAAAGTGCATTGTGCCTTAAATAAAATTGCATTAACTTAAGTATAAAAATGCACTAAAAATATATAAATAAAAGTGCATTGTGACTTAAATAAAAGTGCATTAACTTAAGTATAAAAATGCACTAAGTACACAAACTAATTTCTAGCGTGAGTAAACTATACATGAGCTTTTAAAGGTTGTATTCAATGATCCGACATTTTTATTTGGAAAGTATCTACGTAGCATTGAGAAATTCAAAACTAATTGAACTTTTAATGGAAATAAATTTAAGAGCACGATTTGTGGGATTAGAGCATTTTACTTTCTTATCCTCGCTATTAATACATGTTGCCTTTATGATTAAGATGACCCTTGAAAGTTACACTTAATTACTAAAATACTAGTCATTTATGTTCAATCTTGACCAATGATCTATACATCTAATGGCTGGATTTTATTCTCATTTCTCTCATGGGACTTCTTTCTCACATGAACCAATCCCTATATATATATATATATATATATATAGGGTAAGGATCAAATGAGAATACCATCTTAGGAGAGAAATGAGAATGATTTTGGAGCGTTGGATTTTAGCATTGTGCATCATGTAAAACAGAAATGTGCATATGAAAAATTGGAAAATGTGCATTTCAACCGTGCAAAAGTTTACACGTAAAAGTGCACATTAGAATTTTGCATTACTTTAACTATAAATGTGCATTTTTGTGAATGATAAGTGCATCATTTTGGAGCGTTCTCATTTCTCACGTTAAGAAGTGTTCTCACCGGAACCGCACCCTATATATATATATATAGAGGGCTCTTCTCATCAGGCCGGCCTGACGGGCAGCCCCGTCCGGCCGAGCCCGTTTGGGCACCTTCCTGGTGGAATTTTTTGATGAAATTTTTTGAGCATGTTCCTCATCAAGTCTAGTTTTTCCATACCAAATTTCAGCTCAAAATTCGATCGGGAAGGTCGTCAAATGATTTTTTCAAGTTAACTGGTCCGGAAAATACATATTCCGGACCAGTTAACTTGCAAAAATCATTTGACGACCTTCCCGATCGAATTTTGAGCTGAAATTTGGTATGGACAAACTAGACTTGATGAGGAACATGCTCAAAAAATTTCATCAAAAAATTCCACCGGGAAGGTGCCAAAACGGGCTCGGCCGGACGGGGCAGCCCGTCAGGCCGGCCTGACATGAAGTTTTCTCTCTCTCTCTCTCTCTCTCTCTCTCTCTCTCTCTCTCTCTATATATATATATATATATATATATATATATATATATATATATATATATAGGGTAAGGTTCAAGTGAGAAAAACCCTTTGAGTAGTGAGAAATGAGAATGAATCTCAGTCATTGGATTCGACTAAGTTGCAGTAAAAGACACTTCATGATGCACTGAAATATGCAATCTAGCACAGTGGCATTTCTGTAAATACTTCTGAAAAATCCGTATTACACGTGTCTAGTGCAACATGAAGCTATTTCGGTGCAACGCCGTCAAATATTAGTGCAAAATGAAACAGTTTTAGTGCAACATGTGCAAAATTTAAATATTACTGCAACATAAACCAATTTTAGTGCAACTTCGTAAATCCAATGGCTGAGATTCATTCTCATTTCTCACATTAGATGCATTTCTCATCTGAATCAAAATATATATATATATATATATATATATATATATATATATATATTGGTTCAAATGGGAACAACTCTTAACGTAAGAAATGAGAACTAATCTTGACCATTTATATCAAGTCTTTGGATGCTTTGATCTAACTTGGGCATTTTAGTAATCAATCCAAGTTAATTTATTATGGTAACTAACTTTGTCCCAGCAATCCGGAATAACAACTTCTGATATTCAAGGAAACATCGTCATTATTAGGTGATCTTCTATATATAATATATTTATATTTATATATAATATAATAATGCACCACTAACCATTCAAAATATTGTGAATACACATGCAGTATACGGACCTATTAATTAAGCTATTTGTACAAGATAACTTACATAAATACGTTAGTACAATAAATTTATTTGAAGGTGAGATACATTAATTTTTCACAATTATTAGCAAGCTTTGAATTGTTAATTATTATTTTTTGCACAATAAATTTTGAACCTTTGTATTTGCACAACTATAGCTTAGTAATGCATTTAAACTCAAATAAATTCATTTAGAGTCACTATTTTAAATATCTTTTGCATACTTAAAGTCACTAACATGCACAATTCGTAGTTATATTTTGCACTTGCGTATCTTATTAATGATTCAACTTTTCATCGATCATTAAACTCCTTGCACCTAATTTACATCAATTTAGTCACATTTTAGATATTATATTATGCACCTTGTTTTGTATAGTATGCATTGTTTAGAGTTAGAAATGCATATATACATTACAATTTACAAATATAGCATTATGCAAGTGACGTTTACTAGGATCAAGTTTTTCTATCCACCTAAACATTACTAAAATGCACATGTACATTACATACATAACACACCGTTTCTAAAATCTTTTTTACATTTATTTCAATATCTCGTGCACATGTATGTCAATAGCTGCAAAATACATACATGTGCACTTTTATTGTTGAATGGCGAAACACCTAGACATCATAATATGTATCCAAATTCTATATCCACCTAAACATTATAGAAATACACATTTACCTTTCATAAGTGCACTATTGACTATTTAGAGTCTTTTTTGCATATATTTTACTATCTCATGCACAAATACATTTGCAATTATAGAATCCAACTCATACACTTTTAAAACAGCCGTCTTTTTATATATAATATATTTCGGTTAGTTCCAAAAATAAAACGTACAAATCCATAAAAGGTAATGGGCTATGTAAAGGACACTTGTGTCCTCAAATAATTCATGTTTCAAAGTGTTACTAGTAGAAAAAGATGTCACACGCAATCAAGTGCACCATATTATTATGCACCACCCGATCAATCTGCCGTTCATTATATATGATTAGTGTCTAGGATTTGTTCTCATTTCTTACAATAAGAGGTGTTCTCATTGGAACCACTCCCTATATATATATATATATATATATATATATATATATATGGAGATTACATTTGATATTGTCAAAACCATAAAGACAAATGAGCTAGGGTGGCGGCAGAGTTGCTAACTTTCAAGGTGTATACAAATGACTTGGGTTGTAATCTAACCCAAATGTAGCAAAAGACTTCGAGTCTCGAACATCTATCTACCCCTCAACTTTTGATCTCCAACCTTCAATAATATCATCCTCCAAAGCCCTCGTTATTACAAAAGAGTCTCGGGAGAACATGTCCTGTGCTCCAAGAAATAGATAATAAATCTTAAACTTGTCATTTTAAAATCAAAGCCTCGTCCGCCATTGCAGAGCCCCAAACATAATCAAAACATGATTTGCACAAATTTCAAAATTATGTGGATGCTAGCAATGAATCTAAGAGAAAACATTAGTATCATCCACACACAGGGGCGGACCCAGGAAGTTTGTCTTGGGAGGGCGGTAACTTAAACAAAATATTTTTTGGGAGGGCGAAAACTATTTTTTATTATATATATACACTAAAATAATTTGTTGTTGGGGGGCGACCGCCCCCCTGGGTCTGTACTACGGTCCGCCTGTGTCCACACATCTTGATCTAATAGAATATAGAGACTGGAAGAAGATCAGAATGAATTCATCTTATTGATAATGTGTGAGATTACAAGTATTTATACAATGCAGTAGTTTAACAGAAACCACAAGTCGTTCTAACTAACTATAACAGTAATGATAGTCTATTTAATACTGCTAACATTCCCCCCTCAAATTGAGGATGCTTGTTTGGGAAAATCAATCACACTCAGTTTGTTTCTGAATTCAAGAAATGTAGATGCTGATAGGGGCTTGGTCAGAACATCTGCCACTTGTTGGGAAGCTGGAATATGAAAAACTTCAAGTTGCTTGAGTGTAACTTTCTCTCGTACAAAGAAGAGGTCAAGCTCCATATGTTTGATGCGAGAGTGAAGTACAGGATTATGTGCAAGCTGAACTGTACTGAGGTTGTCACAATATATTCTGGGAGTTAGGAAGGGAATTTGAAGTTCTTTGAGCAGAAATTGAATCCATAAAATTTCTGAAGTGGTGTCTGCAAGGTAAAATTTCTGAAGGCTTCTATATTCAGCTTCAGCTGAGGATCTGGCCACCCTCAGTGGTTTTCTAGACCACCAAGAGATAATGTTTGGCCCTAGGAAGATGCATGACCCTGATGTAGACTTTCTGTCTGTAGGATCTGATGTCGAGTCAGCATCACAGAAGGCAAAAATTGGAAGAGGTGATGTGCATAGTGGAAGAGATTTGATGAGTAGTCCATGAGTGACAGTAGCAGATAGATATCTCAACATGTGTTTCACAGCTTTCCAATGCTCTTGCTGAGGATTGGCCATAAACTGGCATACTTTATTTACAACATAGCTAAGTTCAGGCCTGGTTAAAGTAGCATACTGCAAAATGCCAACAACAGACCTGTAGTGAGAAGGATCAGGTAAATAATCATTTCCTTCATTGGTTAGCTTGCAGCTACTGATCATAGGGGTTTTTACACCTTTGGAATCTGACATTCCAACCTTGTGTAGAAGATCTCTCACATACTTTGCTTGAGATAGATGTAAAGAACCATCAGGAAGTTTTCTGACTTCAATTCCCAAGAAATAGTCAACATCTCCCAGATGTTTGAGAGAAAAGGAGGAATGCAGCTTATGAATAATTTGGTTGATGACAATAGGACTGTTTCCTATTACTAGGATATCATCCACATAGATTAAGATGTATATTTGGATGTCAGAAGTGAGATAGAGGAGTAATGAAGGATCACACTTGCTTTGTTTACAACCAGCATTATAAAACACCGAGGTAAGTTTATGAAACCATGCCCTGGGAGCCTGTTTGAGGCCATACAAAGACTTTTGTAATCTGCAAACAAGAGAGGTGTCCTGAGCTTAAAAACCAGGGGGTTGTGTCATGTATACTTCTTCCTCAAGATCCTCGTTGAGAAAAGCATTGTTAATGTCAAGTTGTTGGATGGACCAGTGATGTGAGACAGCTAGAGTGAGAAGAATTCTGATGGTAACAAGTTTGACACTGGAGAAAATGTTTCTCCAAAGTCAAAACCAAACCTCTGATGAAACCCCTTGGCAATCAACCTTGCTTTGAATTTATTCACAGTACCATCAGAATTTTCCTTTATTCTGAAAACCCACTTGCAGCCTATGGCTTGCTTCCCTTCAGATTGCATTGCTGCAAGCCAGGGTGGAGAGGAAAGAGCACGCTTTACTGATTTAGGCTCAATATGAGCCAACAGTATGGTGGGATTAAGTCTAGGTTTAACAATCCCAGATTTGGATCTGGTTTGCATGGGATGAGTATTATGTAGTGGAATGGAGGGACTGGAAGAAGAAGAGGAGGACACAACTGGTGTGGTGGAGGAACTGGAATGGTGAGTGATAGTTTGATTATTGATAGGAGATGAAGAATTGTTGATAGGGTTAGAGTTGTTTGAGGAATAATTATTTTGAGAAGGAGTGGAATTAGAAGATGAGTCAGTTTGAGAAGAGGAAGACTTGTGTTATTAAATGTACAGCTGTAGCAAAGGCAGTGTCCCAGAATTTTAAAGGAATGGATGAATGAGCTAAGAGGCATAGGCCTTTTTCAACAATGGTGCGGTGTTTCCTGTCAACCACACCATTTTGATGGTGTGTGTGAGGGCAGATTAACCTGTGTGTGATACCATTTTCATTAAGGAAGGATGTAAATGATCTGAACTCACCACCCCACCACCCCAGTCAAATTGAAGTGATTTAACAGAAGCATGAAATTGAGTGGAAACATATTGGTGAAAATTCTGAAATGCTAAGAGTGCATCAGATTTCTTTTTAAGAAAATAGATCCATGTATATCTAGTGAATGCATCAATGAATGACACATAATAAGAGTAACCATCATAAGATTGGACAAGTGCAGGGCCCCACAAGTCAGTGAAAACTAGTTCAAAGGGAGTATGGTAGATAGTAGTAGAAGGATAAGAGGGAAGTCTATGTGCTTTTCCTAAGCAACATGCAGAACAGAAATCAACAACATTTTTATTTATCATAGGAACATTACACAGATTCAGTACACTTTTGAGAACCTCTAAATGAGGATGGCCTAGCCTTAAGTGCCAAATATTACAAGAATCATGTGAATCAGATTTATTATAAGAGGAAATGAAAGAATAGGACAAAAAGAACTAGCTGGAATGACTTAGAGATGTTTTACCAGATAACTTGTGAGACCCAAGAGCTGGAAATGATTGGAATTGGTACAGACCATCTGAGCCAAGTTTGTCATAAAGTAGAATCTGTTTAGAAACCTGGGATTTAACAAAACATTCATGAGGATGAAACTCAAAAAATGCATTGTTATCTTTAGCAAACTTACTGACACTGACCAGATTTTTGGTTATTGCAGGAACATGTAAGATATTGTTAAGAGATAATGAAAGAGATGAATGATAAGGGGATGGGAAGGATGAAAAACCAACAAACTTAATTTCCAGACCTTGGTTGTTGCCCATAAAGAGCTTATCAGTAGTAGCAATAGGCTCATTGTGCTGCAGATTGAGTGGATCAGGTGTGACATGGTGAGTAGCCCCTGAATCTGGGAACCAATTCTGATTACTAGGTGGTGGTCCTAGTATTGAAGAGTTAGCACATGCCCAAGCTGCAGTTGGAACAGTAGGATTAGAGGTAGGAGTTGATGTGCAGGGGTAAGAAGTTCCAGTTGGTCCCCAAGGAAATTGTGGTGGAGCAGAAACATTGGATGAGTATCTTAGTGTGACAGGGTTATGAAAGTTAACTGGTTGGTTAGGTATACAAGTGAAATGGTGTTGAGGCTGAGGAAATTGATTCTGAGGCTGAGAAAATTGGTTCTGATGTGAGGACTTGGAAGTATTTGGGGCACAATAGGCTGGATTGTATCTGTGATAACATATGAGTGCATTGTGACCATTCTTGCCACAAACTTGACAGGTAACAGGGCTACGACCACCCGTCCGAGCACCTCTGCCTCTGTAAGAACCACCTCTACCTCTACCTCTACCTCTACCTTTGTAGGAGAAAGAGCCACCTGAGTCATCAAACTAAGCCACTTGGGCTGAAGCATCAACTGAAGCATTTTGTGGTTCATTATCAAAGTTTTGTAAGGAGTTGTCAACTCGTGCAACATTGGCAGAGAATAATGTTTGTTGAGATAAGTCACGAAGTTTCTTCAGACGCAATTCTTTTGCCAGCAAAAGAGATTCAAGATCTGATACAGTAATTGGATCTAATGTGCTTCGAGAAGATATAGAAGACACGAGCGACTCGTATTCATGAGGCAGACCTTCAAGGATAACATCAATGTGTTCCTTGGTAGATATGGATTCGCCAACCAGAATTAGGTTATCTATTATAGTCTGAATTCGAAGGAGATAATATGAAATTGAACGATCACCTTTTCCAGTGTTATATAATTCGGATTTCAGTTGACAAGCCCTAGCAACGACATTCGAACGAAAGAATTCCTGAATTTCATTCCACAACTGGTGCGAATGCTTGCATGCTTGCAATGAATGACACGAGCGTGAAGAGAATCAGAAAGCGACGCTAGTAGCCAAGAAAACAGCATCTGATCTTGTTGCTCCCAGGTGTTGTAAGCTTCGTTGATGATTTTTGATCCATCATCGGCAACAGCAAACCGTTCTGGTATTTTAGGTTTTTCGATGAATTGAAGAAGCTTGTGTGCTCGTATCACAGATTGAACATGATGCCTCCAGAGCAGGAAGTTATTCGAATCGAGTTTGATTGGTAGCGGATGATGAAAGTTTACTGGAGAAGTTTGAGAGGTTTGAGAGGAAGATGAAGTTTCGGATGTAGAGATCGTCATGGTTGGAACGAGCTAAGCTCTGATACCATAATAGAATATAGAGACTAGAAGAAGATCAGAATGAATTCATCTTATTGATAATGTGTGAGATTACAAGTATTTATACAATGCAGTAGTTTAACAGAAACCACAAGCCGTTCTAACTAACTATAACAGTAATGATAGTCTATTTAATACTGCTAACATGATCTAGAAGATAAAATTATTCTCTCCTTCTCAAATTAAGATTCTCAGACAATTTATCCCAAATGAGATTATTAGACACCACTATTCATATCATCTGGTGAATTTGTCTCTATTTTAATACTCCCTCCGTCCTGCTATGATTGTCCCATTTTACCATTTCGGTCCGTCCCACTAAGATTGTCTCATACTTTATTTGGTAAAGTTTACGTGGTTCTAAATCATTCCTACTTTATTCTTACTTTATCAATTCAATATCAACCACATAAACCTACTTTTATTAATAACCGTGCTATCTTCTATTGTCCCAAACTTAGGGGGACGGAGGTAGTATCTCATTACATATTACATACATGTATGTTCGCACACACACACAAATATGTGTGTGTGTTTTTTTAAATATGTAAATGTTAATTATTAATACTGATTTAAGTATTACGTAGTATTAGGGAAGAGTGGGAACACGAATGATTTAAACTATGAGCAAGACTTCAAACGGATCATGAATTCCAATTTTTTAAATTTTTATATTTATAAAGCATTTTGCAGGATTAATAAAAAAATTTGAATTGATATTCATCATGCGATAAGTCAAAATGATAGTTTCAATCATTCACAACTGCATGTCTCATTTATCATCTTGGAGACCTCATACTGATTAAAAGGCTTAGCTTTCCAGGTCCGCATGAATAAGACTCCAACGCCATAATAATCCTGCTCAAAGCATTACATTACCTTCATGTATGCCTTAACATAGGCAAGTGAATCTGGGACTGACCACTTCTTGTAGTACCCCAGAGCAATCTCCATGTGATACAGCTTTGGTCCCAGTGATAAGTCCGCAGCAGACACTAATTTCCCATTGATGAATGGGCCCTTCAAAGAAATAAGACAATAAATTAAAATGACTTCCCTGCGAATATGTATCATTGTATCATGTATCAATGTAAAAGCAAATGTAGTTAATTTTTCAAAAAAAGACTAGTTATTACGTAGTACTTATATTAAAGTGTCTTTTTGAAAATAGACTACAATGCTGCGAGTTTATCCAACTCCATGTATGGAATTCAAATTCAATGGGAAAACAATAGGAGAACACTCAAGTCTTAACCCAGAAAGAGTTTCAGAACGTCTCCTCCTGCTTGTACAAATTGGACTTCAAGATTAGTAATTCAATCAAGCATTTCAACCTAAATCATGTATCTTTCTAAAGTTCATTATGGTATCAGAGCCACACGAACTCTAACCAGACGTCTCCCTTCTCCTATGGCCGCGGAGATCCTCTTCAGCAGGGGGACCTCAGAAATCCCTCTGCCGGGCAGTCTGCCATTATTCTTGAGCAGTCTGCCATTCTTTATGGAATTCCTTCTACCAGAGTCAACAACCCCCTCACCCCAGATGGTCTAATCATGCTCAACCCCAACAACTTCCAAGAAAAACTAGAAGGGACGAATTACCTAATATAGTGTGACCATGTGCTTGACCTTTCGGTTGGCTCTCATCTCGACCAGTACATCAATGATGATGCTGTTCCGCCACCTGACATGCTCCTGTATCCTCCCTCAGCTTGGCGTGCAAACCTTTGGTCGGCTCCGCACGCACCTCCGCAGCAATCTGGAAAACCCTCGAGCGACTATATGGTACCAGATCAGCTTCCCAGATTTGGAGCCTCAAAGACAGGTTTCGCCATAGTCAACAAGGTCCTCAAGGGGTGGGAAAATACCTCCATCATCTTAGCAATCTCGATGATGAACTGACTCTGGCTGGCCGGCCAGTAGACGATGAAGACTTCATCCTCCAAGTTTTGGAGAGGCTTCGCCCAGAATTTGCATAGATTGAGAACTCGAGTCTCACTTCTGGAGATAACCAATTTGAATATATCTATGGATTGCTTGTCGGCTTTGAGGATAAACTACGATGGAAAGAATCTTTGAACTCCTGCGGTCCTGCCGTTGTTATAGCGAATTCCGTCTCTGTGAGTACTGTCGATTCTATTGCTCTTGCGGTTCACAGGGAATCGACAGGTATCAACACCAAACTCAGCATCCATATTGGGCCTTGGTCCAACAACTTACTTCCAAAATCAGTCTCATCGCGCCAATGATCCAGCCCGAAACCAGAATAGCAATCAGTTCCGGAACCCACGACCCAATACTCCTTATAACCTGACTCGATGTGGAAATACTAATCCTAGAAGCAACATTAGCACGGCTGCACGAGGGCCCGAAACAACCCGAGAAATGGAAATCAAAATTTCAAACCTATATCATATGTCAGACTTGTGGCAAACCGAATCACCTTGTTCTCAATTGTTGGCATTGGTTTGAACAACAAGCTTACCCTCCCCAAGTCAATATAGCCACAACAATCACGCCGCTAATAACCTCAACAAATTAACTTTAGCGTCAAATTATACTGGCACAGATTCTCTCATTATTGGTAACGGTAAAGGTCTTGCAATAGAACAAGTTGGGAATATGAGTCTTCACTCTCTCTCTGCCTAATACTCTTTATGTCCCTTCCGTTCATACTAATTTGATTTGTGTAGCCAATTTACGTCGTGATAATGATATACTAATTGAATTTTACCCTTATTTTTGTCTTGTCATCATTCATCATTCATTCATCATCATTACCTCAGTGCCACAAAGGCTCTCACCTACAGTGGGGTAAGGGGGGTCGGATGTACGCAGCCTTACCCCTGTACTAAAGCACATGGAGGCTGTTTCCGGATGGCTCATGATGAAAATCGCGTCGAAAATTGCATGGACTGACTGCTGCTTCATAACAAAGAAGCGCAGACAATTTAGAGAGTCATTTTGCTTTATTTTTGTCTTGTCAATGACCAGAAAATGGGAGCAATTTTGTTATGGGGTATGAATAATGGCGACGTCTACAGTCTACCTGATGTACCGACACGACCAACCCCATTTGTTAATCTTACTAAGAAATTTTCTCTTAATGATTTATGATTGGCATTGTCATTTAGGTCGCCCTGCCCTTCCTATCACCAAAAAAAATCTATCTTCACTGGGTATTTCATTTCAGGATGTCACCAAGGATATTTCTTTATGCAACTCGCTAGTAATAAAAGTCATAAATTGCCATTTGCTGAATCTTCACTTACAATTTCTCATCCTCTTGACTTAATTTATACTGATACTTGGGGTCCATCTCGTATTACATAACAAATATCACGCGGGATGGTATACAGATACACACATTGATAAGAGATTAATGTCTTACATTTTCTTTAAGGTAATCATCATAGGCAGTAAGCTCTTCCAGTAATGTGTGTTCCGATCCATCGCCAGTGTCGTTGCTTTTAAGGAAACCAATAAACTTGGGGAAAATATATGATCCGCTACAAACAAAAATTAAACAAGTAAAACATATCACTGTCCAATAACTGTATGCTAAGGTAAAATTGTAATTTTCAAAGTAACGACTTATTTTATATAAATTCACATCAATATCCTTATTAACTACTCCCTCCGTCTCATTCTAAGGTTCTCACTTTCCTTTTTGGGACATCCCATTTAAAGATTCTCAGTTCTATTTTAGAAAACAATTAATATTCTTAATAAAAATTTAGTCATCATGTATTAAAAATAATACATCTATAACATCACAGTTATCATCAATGACCTCATTATATTATATAACAATCAAAATTATTTCTAAAAATATACTCAAATTACCATATTTAATTATTGTTGAAATAAAAGTTCTATTTTACGATGGGAACCTTTGAACGGGATGAAGAAAGTACTTAGTATTAAGAGTAGCCGGGAAAAAGCAGATAAAAGAGACAGCAACTTAGTCCTTCTAAGATGTTTTTTACTTCATTTATAAATGGCAGTTATTTGTTAAAAAGTGTCTTTCGCTAATGGACAGTTATTTAAGAACAGGGGAGTATGTTGTTATAGTTAGGAACTACGTAGCACCGATACGGGTACACGGAAATGAAAAGACGGGTACGCGGAAATGAAAAGACGGGTACGCGGAAATGAAAAGACGGGTACGAGGATACAACACACACAAAAACTAGGATACGGAGGCATATTTATAAATATTACGTAGTAAAAGTTATGGGATTTATTTAAATATTAAAAATTATGGGGGTGTTTTTATAAATATTAAAAATTACGAGTACAATTTTATTTTGAAAATATATACACATTATTCTCTAACCTCTGTTCATTCATGGCATTGAAACATTTCACATTATCAAGGTAGTTAGAAATAAATTCATTCTTTATCTCATATACAATAGTGCATTTCGAAATATAAATATAGTCAATAAGTCATTAATTTAAAATGAGTAACGAGTCAAGTAACCACAATTTTAAAATTAAAAGTTCAAGTACGCAGAGTTTTTGGGTAATGGAGATAGAAAACAATACCCGAATAAAAAACTAAAAATTGTAGTACATATTTCCCCTAGAGCTACTCATTTCCACGAATAAAATCGTTTTCCAAAAAGACAGTCTCCAATTTTGGTTCATTCATGGAAAAGTTGGCGAACTCAAACTCATATATCCTCCATGCTCCAAAGTCATCTCCACCAACATCCCACATTTTACTTGCCATCCATATAGCTGGTTGTGTAATTTATTTTTAATTTTTCATTTTAAAAGAATTTTATTATGTAAATTTTGGTTATTTTTCATATAAAAAAGTCGATATGTATCCGTCAAGATACAGGTATCCGAAATTTTAAAATAATTACCAAAAAGTTAGAAACTTTTGATAAATTACAGATACGGCATGGGAACGTATGGTAAGGGTTTCTAATACGGGAACATTTACTATACGCGCCGATATGATACCATAGTGAAGTATCCGTGCTTCATAGGTTAAGAATAATATTAGAAACGCATAATTGAAATCTAGATGGAACCTGCTATTATAGCTGGGAATGCATTTTCCATATTAGCAAGATTGCATATAAGAGACATAGTGCCGTTTGGTAAGAGATTTGACTAAAATGGTTGAATTTTCTGAACTACAAAGTGTTTTGTGACATCCATTACAACAAATAAATAAGCCAAAAGCCAAGTGAACTTATAACTCTGCTTATTTTGATAATAAGCAGGAGATGAGTGTGTAGCTTTAAGAAAATGTTTTTTTTTCTTAAAAATGTTAACTGTAGTGTGCTCAAATATGTGCTTGTGCTTAACATTAAGCACCTTAAAGCTAAAAATCTGTAAGAGAAGAAGAGTGATTAAAACTGTATTTCACTTTTTACATAACATTTGCCTAAAACATACACCATAAAGTACTTCCCAATACTGCAACTTATACTTCTATTTTCAAACACTACCAACTTTACTGTTAAAGATTTTCTTTATACTCTCCAGTCTCCAAATAAATCACTTTGATAAGCACACGAAAACGCAAACACCGCCTCAGAATATATGGCTACTAAACAGCGCCCTAGAGTTATCATACAGAAGAGTCATGAATAGCCAACTTCTAGAGATTTTTTAAGGCTGGGTGGCTTAATTAAATGGTCATATGAGATCAGGATGATTAATGGTGTCAAACCATAGATGATTCAAGAAACTGCAATTGTTAAGATTAGACCAGTTTGATAGAAAACATACACAGAAGCCCTCTCTGGGGGTGTTTTTAGTGATGGATTGGGGAACTTCTCTTCAAGGGCCTGGGTGATAACATCTGAATCTGGAATCCAGTTCTCATCAATCTTAACCACAGGAACTTTACCTTCTGGGCTTACATCTAAGAACCTATAATAAAAAGATTAAAAAAATCATTCCAAAACATTTCCGGTCACCAAGGAAGAAGAGTATGTAATATGGATTATCATCGCACATAAAAAAGTAATCAGCATTTAGGTTACCACTCTGGTTTATTCCTTAAGTCAACCAACTTCAGATCGTATGGCAGATGCTTTTCCTCCAGAGTCAACAAAACTCTTTGCGTAAAAGGACCTGGACGGCCGTTTAAAAGGAGTTTATCGGTAACTACTTCCTTAGAAATCTTTATTAATTCTTGCATAATTCCTGATTTCCGTTTAGAATATCCAGTCATTAAGTCCTGCAGCTTGTGAATCAGCTAATTAAGTCGTGAAATTAGGCGCTATTAAGTTAAGGGGTCGATTAATTAGGATAAATACACTACTGGCAAATCTAAAGCTAAGAACTTGATCTCCGAAAATCAGACAAGATATAGAAAAAATACTTGACATTAGCACAGAGCAGGTCAGTATATCAATTGAAATATCCAAATATGCGCGTAAAGTAAGAAATGCGAGAAAAAAGCGGAATACTTACAATCTCCAAGCTTGTTGGGAACGGTAAAGGATGCCTTAGCGCAGACTTGAACAGGATCCGTTGCTCCAGACATTGCATTGACAGCGAATCCCCTCCTGAAACGGGTCAGGCGGACGGAGAAGACATTACCAGTTCGAGGTAAACGACGAAGGCAGGCGAGTTGTTTAATCGAGGCGGGAAGTGCCATCGCCGTCGGTGTTATTTTCAAGGTAGACATTGGGTGGTGCGGAATAGAGCCGGCAAATGTCTGGAGTCGATAAGAGCTTTCAGGAGGCTCAGCTCCTTGTCTTTTGTTGTTGCTATCTTCCGCCAGTGGATAATTTGGGTTGGTTTTGGTAGAAATTTTTTTATGATGGAGTTTACTAATACGGAGTATTAAATTTTAGTTAAGAATTCAATCGGAAACACATTCAAATAAATTTTTAAAGATAACTGCGCAGTTATCTTCAAACATTCATTTTAATGTCTTCCCAATTGAAGTTTTAGCCGAAATCATATCTTATATTTCTTTTTCTTCTTTTTTTCTTTTATAAAAACTTATTAAATTATATCTATAATTACTCTTATTAATTTCAATATGCGAGTTTAATGTAATGTGATACTTTTACAAATGAGCATAACATCAGTACCAAATCAGCATACATAACTTACAAAGTGCACATTGATATGAAAATCATAAGATTTGTTATTTGAGCATCACAACATTTTAATTGTCCATCAAACTTCCGTTATTGAGATGAAAATAACAGATTCTGGTGAATGAGTATTAATGAACTTTTAATGAGTATCAGACATATTATGTTGAGTATTAGGAGTCTAATATTCAGAATCGTGATCTTTGCTTCATAACTTCTAATTCACTTTCTTTTTGTTATTTTTTCTTTTATAAAACCCTATTAAATTATATTTATAATCAACTCTTATGAATTTCAAAATGTGAATCCAATGTAAAATAGTACTTTAAGAAAATGCATTGATATGACATATAAAGAATGTGTAACACCGTCCCCAAGTATATTTACTTTTAAGTGAATAATGCATTGAACCTTATGAAATGGTTAATGAATTTACGAAGTTGTAATTTTTTATTATTTCTTTCGAGTGAATAGTAAATTGCATGTGGGACCCACACTGGAAGCGGGGCCACCCAATATTCCCGAGACCATATATTTTATTCATCTTGGTCTAGATAATATTTATATAGTGGTAGATACTTTATTTGGGCCATAGAAAGGCCTAGGGTTGACCGGTTGATCAAACAAGACCCAATTACCAGTATTGGTAATTTATCAGATATCAGTCCGAAATGAATTTCGGAGACTTCTAAATTAAAGTTGTGGAATGTATATTCGTTCTAAAGGCTCATTGTGATTGAGAACATGTAATATATTTTATTTGACCCGATAAAATAAAATATAAATAAAATAGTCCGAAAATACAACTTTCGGGACCGATTGTACACATTGGGACACAAAGGGATGACCTCCCACATGAGTGGGGGGCACCCCACGTTTTTGTCAGCTGAACTTGACAAATTGGGGGCTATTTTGACAAAGGGAAGAGAGGAGGAGATGTATTTGGCATCTAAGTACCGAGGAGGACCTCTCACCCTCTCTTATTTGTCATTTGAGACAAAAGCAAACATCCTCTCTCACCCCTATTACTATAGCTCGGCCAGAACACCCAAATCAAGGAGAGAAGCTCTAAAAAATATCATCTCCATTGTTGAGAACAAGCTAAGCAAGAAGGAAGCTCAAAGGAAGAGTTTAAGTTGCTAAAATGTAGAAAAGTTGAGAAAATTAAGGTAATGGCCTCATTAACATTTTCTTCTCTTTTTCTTAAATATCTTATTATTTTAGAATCGTATGAAGAATTCTAGGATTGTTCTACATGGTTAGACGTGTAGAATGAAGGGTTGGAAGGTGGTTCTAAGTTCAAGAACGGACTTAGAAGCCAAAATGACTGGTTCGCCGGAAAATAACCTTTTAGAGGTTATTTGTGTTGATTTAGGTTTTGTGATGTTAAAAACTTGTTAGAAACTTGTCTAAGATATCACTAGAGCTTTCAGGGAGTTGAAAGAGTCGCCGGAGTTGGACAAAGTTCGCCGGAGTTTCGCCGGAGTTCAACCGAGAAGTGTAGAACGCGCTAAAGCTCATTTAAGGTGAGTGGATGACTTAATGTCTTATAACTTTTGGTTTAATTGTGATATTACCTAAGTAAATGTTATATTTGTTCATGATGATGTTTAAAAGATATTTGAACATGTGATTAGCCAAAATGGTTAGGCTTATATGAAAAGAATAATTTTAATATGCATGAAATATGATATGAAAATTTCTATGAAAATATATGCTATGCTTGAAGGATAAAGAAAGCATGAAATGAATGTTATGAAATTAATACACATAGTGACTAAGTTTGATATGAATAAGAATTGAAATGGCGGTCAACGAAACTTTGACCAGTTGTCCACGGGGTAACTGATAAGGCTTGATATCATTTACCCACAAATTAATATAAATGCATGGCTTTGCATGAATTGTTTTGTATAGGATTATTGAATTGATTTAGCCATAGATAAATGATTATGATATAGACCATGTCTAGTTTTGATATGTGGTAGATCATAGGAATGGAAATGGTGGAGAACCCAAAAACTAAGGAGTCCTCAAAACTCCGGAATATAAATGGTGGAGGACCCAAGGACTAAAGAGTCTTCAAAACTCGGAAATATAAATGGTGGAGAACCCTTAGGGACTAATTAAAGAGTCCTCAAAACTCGGAATATAAATGGTGGAGAACCCTTAGGGAGTAAAGAATCCTCAAAACTCGGAAAGTGAATTGGTTGAGTACCAAAGGACTAAATGATCCTCAAAACTCATAGATTGTGATTTATGAATTATGGACAAGGAGGAGTCATATACACTCATAGGTATATGGGTGGGTTGAGATTTTAAGTTAAGGACATTGACTATTACTATTTTTCCCAAATTAAACGACGACCTATGGGTCGGGTATTTCCAAGTGTATATATTTACTAATGCGTATTTAATACTTTGGTGGGAAGAATTATATGTGTAAGTATCACCCTATGTTTTGGGTCTTATACTTGAAACGCTAGTTATCCTACATTTAGTCTGTTATTCATTCGGCACTTGTACTGACCCCTTCGCCCCCCCCCCCCCCCCCCACCATTTTTCAGGTTGAAGCAAGGGCTTGCTACCTGCACCTTTCTAAGGGTGGTATCAACTCAAGGAAGACATGGTTCGTGCTTCCTTATTTTCTTTCGTACTACCAAACATTTGCTCAGGGATAATTTACTTATTATAAACTACTTTTGGGCTTGCATGCTCATGTTGTTGGCCGGATGTGGTTTATTATTTACCGTTGAATATTTCCGTTATTCATTGGTTTAAATGTGATGTTGTTATGTATGTTTACTGCTGAGTATGGATGGATTGTGTTCTCGAACGCCTTGTATGATTGAGTGAGGTTGACTTGCGAGTGACGTCACTTGATCATACGGCGGTTTTACACGTGCTTAGATGCGGTCTGGGGCATGACAGAATGAGCATAAGATCAGTACCAGATGAGCATACGTAAGGCTTTTGATCGGCTAATGGTATTAATATCCCTGGTAAACATGTTAGTGATACCATATTAAATTCCTCTCCTCGACTTCTCCATTTAAAAACGGTCTATCATCATATCATGTTCCCAATATGAATATAATTTAATTTTTATTCAAAATTGTGAGCCGATAACAACTGTTTTGTGAATTTTGATAAAAATTGCATTTTTTCGAAAGGACAAAATCACAGGGAGGTGCTTCTGCAAACTTCCAGTAATTGTGGAGTCTCTCCCATTACCCTTACTCAACTTCTCCCTCTAGCATTAATTGCACATGTCAATTCGCTTCCATTTGACATCGTTGTCTTGGACACCATGGGAAGCACATTTCATCTAGTTTAAAAATCTCGTGTTATTGTTAGTCATTTTCATTTTTTCATGATTGTATTTCTTGTTGTTTGAGTAAATCTCAATGATTACTTTTTCAAGAAGTTTTTCATCATTCTACTGAGCCATTATTTTTAATTGGGATAAGTGTCAGTTTGGTCCTCGAAGTTGCAAAAAAGGAGTCAAATAAGTCCTTATGTAGAAGATTCTGTCCGGAAGTGTCATTTGAGGTGGCTCCCGGCGGAATTTTTTGATGAAATTTTTTGAGCATTTTATTCATTAAGTCTAGTTTACTCATCAAATTTCAGATAAAAATTCAACCGGGAAGACATTGAAATGAATTCTTGAAGATAATTGTGCCGTTAAAAGCGTAGTTATCTTCAAGAATTCATTTGAATGTCTTCCCGATTGAATGTTTAGCTGAAATTTGGTATGAGTAAACTAGACTTAATGAATAAGATGCTCAAAAAAAATTATCAAAAAATTCCACCGAGAGCCACCTCAAATGGCACGTCCGGACATAATCTTCTATATAAGGACTTATTTGACACCTTTTTTACAAGTTCGAGTACCAAACTGACCCTTTACTCATTTTTAATTCATTCTGATGTCTCACAAACTCATATTCTTTCTAGTTCCGGTATTAAATATTATTTGTGTTTTATCGATGATTTTTCTCGATTTACTTGGTTATATCCTCTGTGTCGCAAAAGTTAAGAGATAGTTTAGAATTGTGTTTGTTTATGTGTGTAATTTTAACTAGTTTTATTTGTTGTTGTTTGGGAAATTACACACTTTTGGTGTAATACTTTATTTTTCCTATTTTGTTTGTAATTTGTTTAGATTAGGTTTATTCTGAGTTTTAACTAGGTAAAGAACATCAAGAGGGTCCTTAGAAAGGTCAAGAAAAGTACAAGGGAACAAGATAAAGTGAAAATTTGGAAAAATAGTCATTTACCCGGTCGGGTAAAGCATTTACCCGATCGGGTATTGACTTGATTCGAAAATCAAATCTGATTTGGAGGCAATTTAACGTGCAGGCAAAGATTTGGCAAAGATTTGTTTTTTACCTGATCGGGTAAATCATTTCCCCGGTCGGGTATATAATGTGACAGATGAAGGTTCCAGGCACTTACTCAAGAAACCCGATCGGGTATCGCAAAAACCCGGTTGGGTAAATGGCCCTGGCAGCTCCAAACACCTATAAATACACCCCTTCTCCTTCCCATTTATTCATTCCTTCTTCCATACTCTTAAGCTCAGTTTTGAATAGCATTTCTTTATATTATTCTAGCATGTTTAGTCTCCAAATGAGGAGCTAAACTTCCATTTCTTGGTGTTGCTCTTGAAACTT